CGAATTTCTTATAAAGAGTTCCGCTGGTAACTCGAGCACTAAAATTTGTTACTTCTTGAGAAAATCAAGTGTGCAGGCAAAGAAAACTTGTTCTAAAGGTATTTTCTATCGGATTTTAGTGGGAGAGATGTTTTGTTTTCTTAAGTACCGAGAACTGAGCTATTTGTAAGATCGGCTTATGGTGCCCAGTCGATAAACTTAAATTTAAAGGTACCCGAAATTACGTAGTTAATTGTTTAAGTGGAGTTCTGGAATGAAAGCAAGAAAGACGGCTTTTGTGTTGTCTTAAAATGAATTCAACGATACGTTCTCACCGAAAACCAAGTAACGACAATTTTTCTTTGTTTGCAAACACTCCATAATATCTCTATAAAATCTGAATATTGTCCTTTTGAAGTGTGAATAAGTACATATAATAATTTAGATTTATATTATGAACATGGAAAGGCTTTTTAACTCACCCTTAGAAGAAGGATACGTTAGTATAGATGGTCTGAATTATAACGTGACTGTTGATGTAATATTTGCCCCCCTCCACTGTCGGACTCCCTGTTCCAAGTTTGGTTGATTGCAAAAACTATTCTGTTGCTTCTGATTGCGAAGGAAGAAGCAAGGGAAGAAACTTAAAACAAAAAGAAGAGTTATAAAGACCTGGGAGTTTTTTTAAAAAGGAAACTGTCTTTATCGCGCTGCTGTACAGTAAACGTGTCCCTGTTTGTTGTTGATGTTTGTGCTCGTGAAAGTGTAAGTAGAGTATGTAGTTAATAATGTAGATTTAAGTAGGCAACAGAGAAACGTTGTCTCTTTTCCCCTTCTAATCATTGTGTTCTCTCCCCCCACCAGACTTGTTTTGTTCAGAAATTAGCTTACAGAGAAGAAAGCACTGCAAACTTAAACATATTGTATATTGACTCGAAAAAAAAGAAGAAAAACGGATCTTAATTTCCGTGGCATGCAAGATTTCGTGCCATGTCCCTTGGAATGTTAGTTTGTTTAGAACGGGTTTCAGTGATGTGTCGAAAAATAATCTCCAGAATATCCTTTCTGCTCTCAACTCCTTGTGGTTGGTTAAAAGATATCGTGTCAATTTCTCTTTCCGCCTTTTGGCAACCTTCCGTCCAGTGTTTTATGATTGGCTAGAGAAGGTTGTACGTCACTTCAGTGAATACCGTTCTAACAATGTATGCATGATCAAGACTGCTGTAGTAGATCATGTGTCTGTTCCAAAATGTGGAAAGCATACTGCCAAATGTACTTTCAGAAGTATGCCCCAAACCCTTCCCCAGTTAGTGATTACAACACTTGATATCAGAGTAACTATGTAGAGCTTTAAGCCGGAGCTGTCATATTAAGTTTTATGTCAAAATAAACTATTACTCAATAGTTCGTGTACAGTCACAAAATGTGTTGTTCTTGCGCCCCTCGTTTTTGGCGATTAAATCGACCGTCACTGAAGAGAACCGTGGAAAAGTAACTAGCCCCTCTTCCCGTTCTTCAGAGAAATCTGGGAACCAGATTGATTTATGTACGCAATTGTATACCATGACGGCACGGTACGGTGAACTAGCTTGACGTGTTGCGCGCGAGGTATCGTGTCGGCCTCGCCACGTCAACTTGTGTCTTCATATTTACCTGTAACCTCTGGTTTGTTCTTCAGCTTATGCTTGGCTGACCGACGCGCCCATGCCTCTAATGTTGTTGTTTTATGTGTTTTATTGTGTGGTGGAGGCAAAATCCTCCGTTTTGTTTAAGGGTAGTGACACCAAGATTAAGTGCTGCTTGAATCTCGGATATACCTTTCCGGCATCTCGCTCCACGGAGCACACACAGGGATCTCAAGTAACAACGACGACGACTGGAGTGAAAACATCGCTAAACAAATGGATTTGCGTCCTTTCAAAGTTTATTGCGTCTATTTGAAACCGCACAATTCGTCAAATGTAGGCGACTTTTCGTGGAGTTGAATTCTTAACGACTTTATCCATGCTCAAATAGCGAAAGGACAATTTGTCGTCGTATGTCCACGCCCTTCACAAAACGTTGCGTTGGGAGGTTTCACGTCGTAGTCGTGCAGTGGACGTCAAAGAAATGTACTTAAGTGCTTGATGCACGTGCAGAGCAGTTGTTTTGCTCATAAAACCAATTGTTTTTTGACGTTGTCGTCGTAGTTGCTTAAGCTCCACAAGGACAAGGTCAACGGAGGCTTGGGTTGACAATTTCACGCACATCACTGTATTTTGTGTTCTGGGCCAAAACGCTGCCAACATGCATCCCACATTTGATTGCAGCATAGTCCCAGGTCAGTCTCCTCCTCAGGCGCTTCGTTTTTAGCAAGGTAGAGGCGAGCGGCTGGTGACGAACCGCAAGGGACCATGGGAAGGGTACAGACGGCGGGCAAAGCGCCGTCTCTCCCGTTGTCTCCTTCCCGCCTTCCTTTGCGCGCACATTTTGGTCGAGAGAGAGACGTCTGGGTACGAGGCAGGTCCCAGGTCATTTTTATAAGTGAACCAAATGACGGACACCTAACAGCTAAAATCGAGCACACCACAAAAGCCGTCAGCACTTGCCTCGTCCCTGGGCCATGCTGGGCGCAGCCTATGCTTTTCGAGTCACGTACGAGCGAGAAGGCCCGTTGGACAAGGAGGAAACGTCAGTACTATACGACCACTTGTGAACTGAGCTTAAGTTTAATTATTTCCTATGTGAGTACCTAAAGTTCGTTAGTTTGAAAGTACCAAATTTATATGAAATGCGGCTTGACGATGGAAGTAGTTTATTTGCCCGTCCATGAGGGCTAAAACACTGGTTTGTCCCTACTCTGGTTTGCCTCTTTTTTCTATTTTTGAATCCCCAATAATACACTCTGTTTGCCCCTCTCCCCACTGCCCTCCCAAATGGGAGGATTGCATATTCCATTTCCTTAGAGCATGTGAAAACAATAACTTAGGCCGAATTTGGGGGACAAACAGAGTGCATTATGGATTATTCGAAAATAGTCAATGGTTTCTTTGTTGGCAAAGGTTCCGCTCACGGCGAGAGAAGAATGAGAAGAATTATGTTTGTAAGTTCCCTTGACTCGCGGGGTGATGGTGCGGGGCGGGACTGACAAATTCTCTTTTCCCTTCCCCCCCCCCCCTACCCACCCACGTGGACTATAATTTTTTGCACGACGACCGACATGGTTTAACTTATCGGCAAGGTTTGTAGAGTTTGACTCGGGTTCGCCGAGTACTTCCTTGAGGTCCCTGAGTACTTTGGCCACACCACTAGTAGCCTCGTTTCTATAAACTGAAAAAAGGAAAGAATTGCTCTTTGGGAGGCCAAAGGGAAAAATGCATGAGGTAAGCATGTTATTGAAAGAACCAAAGCGGGTGAAAGCTGTGGAAAGGAGCCAAAGCGGTGGCACGAGACAGAAAGTTTTGGTCAGACAGCGTGGAGGGCTTGTGCGCCTACTAGCGCGACAAAACTACTGATGATGATGATGATGAAGTATGCCACTGCCCTTAACTAATGATTGTTTGTCATTAGCTCTTTGGCGAATCTAACAAAGGTAAAAACATTTAAGTTTTAATGCTTCTGGACTTCTTTATTCTTTACAATACTAATACAGATTTAATAGTTATTTTCAAAGTCCAGATAATCACATGACTCGAGCTTACTGCTGAGCTTTTGGTACTTCTTCAATGAAAATTCGAGTCATTGAATGCCAACCAGTGTCAGCGTCAAAATCCCACTCGCACCTTTCCTTTCTGAATGTAGTTGCAGTGACCCTCAATGTGGCGGTGACGGTAAAGATTGTGGTTTCTTCCTCTTCCCATGTAGAATGCACCGTCAATAGTTCCAGGAGAGCTGCACTCCGTTCCATTAAAGGTGAAATACCAGCGACTGCAGCAGTTGTCACATGAGGCAATCCTGAGATTACCAGTAGCCATGGAGGGAACTGTCTGGGTATTTCTTCACAAAGTCACAGTTCTAAACGAGATATAAAGAATCAAAATAGCTTCTGTGCAGTATGACAATTATTTGTTTTGTGATTTTCACAGTATGAAAATTATTTGGTTTGAACTAACAAATCGATAATAAAGTACTTTTTGACTCTGGTTATCTGGTAACAATTAAGTGACTTGCTCACTTACATATATCAGTCCTGTATTGTTCTCGTCTCTCTTTTTCCAAGCACACTCCTTCCAGTTCATGTGTGAAGCCAGTCGCGGCGTTCCACTGTTGCCTTTGTCCCCTCGCTCTCCTTTTTGGCCGGGAGAACCCTGGATCCCAGGCTCTCCCTTTGCTCCTTTCTTTCCGTCAGCACCACGTGGTCCCTGGGTCCCATTTTTCCCCGGGCTGCCCAGGTCTCCTTTAGTTCCATCACTACCTGGCGCCCCAGGGGCTNCTCTTTGGGAGGCCAAAGGGAAAAATGCATGAGGTAAGCATGTTATTGAAAGAACCAAAGCGGGTGAAAGCTGTGGAAAGGAGCCAAAGCGGTGGCACGAGACAGAAAGTTTTGGTCAGACAGCGTGGAGGGCTTGTGCGCCTACTAGCGCGACAAAACTACTGATGATGATGATGATGAAGTATGCCACTGCCCTTAACTAATGATTGTTTGTCATTAGCTCTTTGGCGAATCTAACAAAGGTAAAAACATTTAAGTTTTAATGCTTCTGGACTTCTTTATTCTTTACAATACTAATACAGATTTAATAGTTATTTTCAAAGTCCAGATAATCACATGACTCGAGCTTACTGCTGAGCTTTTGGTACTTCTTCAATGAAAATTCGAGTCATTGAATGCCAACCAGTGTCAGCGTCAAAATCCCACTCGCACCTTTCCTTTCTGAATGTAGTTGCAGTGACCCTCAATGTGGCGGTGACGGTAAAGATTGTGGTTTCTTCCTCTTCCCATGTAGAATGCACCGTCAATAGTTCCAGGAGAGCTGCACTCCGTTCCATTAAAGGTGAAATACCAGCGACTGCAGCAGTTGTCACATGAGGCAATCCTGAGATTACCAGTAGCCATGGAGGGAACTGTCTGGGTATTTCTTCACAAAGTCACAGTTCTAAACGAGATATAAAGAATCAAAATAGCTTCTGTGCAGTATGACAATTATTTGTTTTGTGATTTTCACAGTATGAAAATTATTTGGTTTGAACTAACAAATCGATAATAAAGTACTTTTTGACTCTGGTTATCTGGTAACAATTAAGTGACTTGCTCACTTACATATATCAGTCCTGTATTGTTCTCGTCTCTCTTTTTCCAAGCACACTCCTTCCAGTTCATGTGTGAAGCCAGTCGCGGCGTTCCACTGTTGCCTTTGTCCCCTCGCTCTCCTTTTTGGCCGGGAGAACCCTGGATCCCAGGCTCTCCCTTTGCTCCTTTCTTTCCGTCAGCACCACGTGGTCCCTGGGTCCCATTTTTCCCCGGGCTGCCCAGGTCTCCTTTAGTTCCATCACTACCTGGCGCCCCAGGGGCTCCTGGGACACATGTCATGTATGTCCACATCCCGGTTTGTCCGCCATTACAAGATGGAACAGGCTGCTGAAGATCGACAGAATTTGTCATCTAGAGCTTCAATCCAGGAGAGGAAGTAAATACTAAAGTAAATTGTAAGTAAGTAAATTTGCAAGTTTTAATCTGGGTTTCTTTGATGCGTCCGCTTTTGATTATTTTAAAACTGAAAATGATTTTTCTCTTCTTAAAATACCGATCGATTTTTCTTGCAAATAATCATACCGCCTAATGTTATTTCTGAATTTGGAACATTTCCCTTTAAAGCTGAAGACTGATCTAATAGTAGCATTCACATACGATACGTAACTTCCTAGTTTTATCCATAAACTAACCTTTTCAACTGGAATAAAAAATACGTGCAGTGGCCATAAGTATATCGAAGTATAAATGCAGTTTCCTTGGTGTCTGGTGGTTTGTTGTCCTTAGCAGAGCAGAAAGCCGCCATAAGCGATAAAACAAACAACATGATGGGTACTTTAACTTGCAATCACATTATTAACATCCTCCAAATTGATTGTCCACTAAATGTTTTATCATGATATAATAAAAAAATTCGATTAGTTAAAACAAAAAAACAAGTGAGATTTACTTTATATCTCATCTTTAAAAGGTGCCTTGGAAAAATGAACGGCTTGAAATCTATGGATTTTTTTCTTTCAAATTTTAAACAGGAGTCACATTGTTTCCGGACTGTCAGAATGTTTCTGGAATAGGCTTATTAAACAAAAAAAGCCTCTTTTTTTGTTTATTAAACCAGTTTGACCTGCAAACTTTGTTTATTAAACAAGTTACATGGTATTTCTTGCTTAATAAGCAAAAACGCGCGCCTTTTTCGTTTAATAAGCAAATTAATAATATACATGAAAAAATTTCTCGATTGTGATTGGCTAAGAGGAAGGCAGTTTTTATGTAACACAGTGCAGAAAAAAGGTAATTGAGTGCAGAAAAAAGGTAATTTAGTGCAGAAAAGAGTAACAAACGTGACATTCTGATTGGCTAAAAAATAAAGGAACTCACTGAGAGCCAATCAAATACGCCATCTAAATGGCGCAAAATTTGGATCCGCTTCGGAGCAGTTTCGAGCAAAAACCGCAATGGTTGGCGTTTGCAGCACATTTGCTTTTGCGACCGAAACAACTGTAGAGGAGCTGAAAAACCGCTCTAAAAACGAAAACACTGCGAAAAGCACTGGTTTTTGGCTCTCTTTTTGGAAGAACTGGTGCGTAGGTAAGGAAATTGCTGATGAAATAGAAAATTATGAGCCGGCTGAGCTTAACACTTTGCTCGAGCATTTCTACGCCGAAGTAAACAACACAAAAAAAGGTGAAGATTATGAACCAGAAAGCCTTAAAGTAATGAAGGCATCGCTTGATAGACACTTAAAGAACAAAGGCTGCACCCTGTCCATTGTACGTGACCGAGAATTTAGTTCGTCCAAAGAGGCGTTGGAGGAAAAAGCGAAACAGCTTCGCTTGGCTGGCCGCATGGTAAGCGCCCAAACAAAGCTCGATAAGTATCAGAGGAGGAAGAAGAAATTCTCTGCAAGAGCGGAAAACTCGAGGTAATAACCCAGAATCTTTATTTCAAACACATTGAACAATTCCATGAACTGTTCAGCCCGTTTCTGCAGCTTGCAAACTTTAAAAACATCGAGCAAAATGTTGTTTTGACTGCACGTGTGATGATATTTGCAGTATTTGAATAATTTATTTTTGCACGTAGTTTACGCGGGTTGACTCCCTATTAAAGAGATTTTAAAGCTATCTCGCAATTTTTTCATGAATATTATTAATAAGTAATCACATGATTTTTCTCGTGCAATTTGGAATAAATAAGCACTCGTAAATTTTTTCAAAGACCACAAATTGCACTCGCCCTACGGGCTCGTGCAATTTTGTTAGCCTTTGAAAAAATTTACTCGTGCTTATTTATTCCAAATTGCACTCGAAATCATGTGATTACCTGTACAAATTGCGCTTATTAAGCAAAAGAGCTGCGATTTTAGGTTTATTAAGCAAAACTTCCACTACACAACCATGGCAACAAATTATTTCTCCCGGCCGCCATTACGGGAAAAATTATGTAAGGCGAAAACAAAGCTACTGCATTATCTTTGTATAAGAATTGTATTTTGTTGAATAGCCGACTGGTTAATCTCTCCATTCAAAGAAAAAATACTTGTCTTTTCTTTTTGGAACATATTATTTTGCCAAAGAAAGATCTTCGTACCGCAGCGATCGGCGACTCGGCCGCAAACAAGACTTGTTCAAAAGATTTGTTCAAAAGATTTGTTTTTAACAAAACAAAACGATGGCCGGCTGATTTCTTTCATGCCGTCAAAAGTGACATGGAGTTTCTCGACTAAAGAAATACAAGAAAATTTAACGCTTTCAACAAAAAATAATGTTTTCATAACGTTCCAGGTTTCCTTCAAAAGTGTAGACAGGAGTGGAAATAAACAATTTACGCCATCTTGCGGGCCAAGTTCAAAATTTTCATATCACAGACTTTCAGTCTTTTAGAACGGTACGATGTTTCTATTAAAGGAAGTCGAAAAGAAAACATTCACAAAACGGAATCTCCGGAGCAGGAGTAACTAATAGTCGTGGGTCGTGGGTGGTGGGTACAAAGTCGTGGGTCGTGGGTGCAAAGTCGGTTGTCCTCCTAGTTCCGTGAGGTTTTGAGGGATAATCATTTCTTTTGAGTAATATTAAAGAAAAAAATATATAGATTTAGCCAGGCCAGGGCTAAAATCCCAAATCAGTTAACTTTACACACATTCATGCGACTTTTGAGGGAAAGGCTAAGTGATTTTAGAGAAAAATGATTTGCAAACAGTCTAAGAGTGTACAACCAAAAAATAGCAATCATCTTCTATCACATTTAAGAGTCATAATGGCTCTTGATCACAATGGATTAAACCTCGAAAACAAATTCTTGGAAAACAAATCAGGCCTAATTTAATTTTTGCGCTCGACAAGTTTGCTTTACAAAATCTTGCTAATAAATCTGGGGGCGTGTAAACCAGCCTTTTAATACTTTTTATACATCATATCTGAGGTGAAACATTACTATGAGGCGCTGTTTTTATCATACAGACCTCGGACAGAATGTAGTATTTCACAATTTTGGGATTTAAATTGCCCTTATTTAATCCTTGAATATTCAGGACGATCGAAACACGTGGGCTTTTAGCGAAACCGCTAAAAAAATTTCCAAAATCACCTATAAGCTAGCCGGTTGCGAGCTGTGGAGTGTTTGAATTAACATTAATAGAGTTACGCTGCAACATAACAGAGAATTTGTCATGTTTCTTTTCTATTTATAAATTTAGTGGTTTTATAACTATGTATAATCTTCCAAAGCGTTTAATACCGGGGCGGCATTTTGAGTACTCCAGCAAGCGATGTTCATGAACGACTGAAAACAATCGGCACAGCGATGAAAATTGCAAGAGAGGCTACTGACAATCAATAAAAGAAATACAATTCGGTGAAACATATACAGAGACAACAAGTTTGTATTAAAGAGTCTCTAAAAGTCCTGAGTCTTCAAGCTTAAAATTAAAGTTTATGTTTTAAGCCGGCTTCCCGGTATTTGCTTTTTTCAAAGATGACTGAACTCGAAGCAAGAAAATCGCTCAAAGCTTTCTTTTACAGCCAGAAATATAACTTAAGATTCTTTCGAACGTTTTCTTTCTATTTGCGGTGAGAAAATGTCTTAAGGCTTTTTAAAGTTCTGTAAGCTTATATAAAAACCTGATATATATACTCGGTCAGATCATTGTCTCAAATCTTACAAACGTGCATAAACTAAATAGCCGCATAAACTACGCTGGACTTCATTAAATTAGATATAAAAAAGAAACATCAAATACAATAATTAATCAGACTTACCATTCAAGATGCAGCTCCTGTAAGCCTCTCAAGTAAGGCCAGTATCGCTTCAGACTTTTCAACCCTCTTTATACGCATCAAGCGAGGTGAAAAACGGAAACGATGCCATCCGAAATCGGATTCCCGAGTTTGACAAGCGATGTATTTCTCAACCAAAAACCCAATAAACAAACTAGCCATGAATAACAGAGGACTTTTGATAGCAGCTGAATTTCATTTTGTACATCCAATAGAAAAAGACAGTTAAAAACATTACAAGTTGACACAAAACTCTGTCAGCTTCAGCTGTCAAAGTAAACAAGTTTCAAGATGCTGCATAAATTTTCTGCATAAGCTCACCTGTCAAATTTTGACCAATCAGAGCATAAAAATTGGACGTAGAGCGTGACCAACGCGTGACCAAAGTGAGAAAAGTCAAAAACAACTGTCTCCCCTGCCTTTAACAAAAAAAGCATTAGACTTTCCCTGCCCGCTTTTTGAGCCAGTCTAGAGATTGTCCATTCAGTTTTCATTAAGTTCTTAAGCACATTGTTTCCTAATAGCTGGCTGAATTCTCGCGTCCGAAGTCAGTTTGAAATCAAAATTTTAATTGTGCGGCACACGAACACAACATATTTCATGAAATAAAAACAAAATTAAACTTGAGCCTGCCATCATTTTAAAACTAGTAACTTGTCAGCGGATAACTTCAAAAATACTCGAACTCGATGGGTCGACACCTGAGCCCGCAATACTGTCAGGTGATACTGGTCAGCAGATACCCTGTTTTGACAGCTGTCAATTGATCACAACATTGATGTGCAATATGTGTGCAATAATTGCGCAATATCAATTTTCCTGTACTCGAACCTTGGTTTTCCTGTGGTGCAGACGGACGGGCAATGTACGGTCACATGATTACCAAATTTTCTGGGATGGGTTGATTTACTTAGCTATAGGGCTCCGCGCTTTGCGCGCGTGGAGCTCCGCTAAAAAGTTGCGATAATTGAGAACAATGCTACACCCCCAGTTGTACACCAAAAGTCCAATTCTAAAACGAGTAACAGCGACAATTAATTGCCCGAAAGTAACGTATATACTCAACTACACTTAGAATCAACGCGTGCGCTTTGTCGGGTTATTTAGTTTGACGTTTCCCCCGGATCGAGTTCGCTTTCCCTTTTCCGCGCTGAATCTCTTTCGAGGTCTGTTCACTGTGCCCCTGATGAGAATGACAGATCTTCTGAGCAGGCTATAACTTTTAAATTACCATCAGTCTATGTTCCTGTTTACACTAGAACTTAATAACAGTATAACAGTATAGCAGTTGCTAAATGAGTATTTACCGCCTACTTAATGCTACACGTTCATATTAAAAAAAATCTGACGTATTTGTGGCTATTTGTCCCGCTTAATGATCTAATGTGTGGTCATTGAACTACTGGTGTGGTTATTGAACTGTTGTGTAGATATTGAACTAACGAAAAAATGAAATCATGCATAATTTTTTTTTTCAACATACAAACGAAACTACGCCGGGCAAGGCTGTCAGTTGGCTGACAGTCGTTGAAAGTTACATTGGCAGGCCAAA